GTGAATAACAACAGTTTATTACCTAATAAAAAAAAGAAACTGATTTCTGCCTACTTGGAACCTTCAAGTTACTTATATCATCGTACATGCTGCTCAGCCCCTTATCTGCATGACAGTTCTCCAGTAACATTTTGTTATTGACTTTGGAGAGTAAGAAATCAGTAACAATTTCTGTTCATTATGTGAAGGGAATATCTAACAGAAAACTTAAACCACAAGGGACAAAGCAAAACAGTACTAATAAAAAGAGCTATCAAGTGAGTAAAACATAACAAAAGGAGGGATACAATATTTACTTCTAATAAAATGAGAAGTTTCAGGTATTATTTGTGACTTGATTAAAAAAAGTTCAACCAGAAGCAAAATTTTTAAATGGGAACTTTGTTGGAAAGACTCTTCACTGCGTCTTAGCTAGCCCTCCTCAAAATTTTTCCCATAATGGACCTCTTCTCAGAATAAGACATAGCACAGACCATTTACTCTAGCAAATATCAAGCAATAAGGCAAATTAAAACTGAGGGACACAACACAGCTATGAATTTGCTGCAAATGACTTGTTATTTTCTTCCTGCATCTTGTAACTTTCAAAAATGTTTCTGTATACCAGTGGTCATATCTTCACTGGTCAAAAAAGCCATGTTCAAAGACCAAATGGCTGGCTTTAGTACCTTATCTCTGTTAGTAAAACTCAAACCAGCAAAAAACCAAACCAACCAAAACCCACCACCACCCCCAACATGAACACCCTTGATGCAACAAAGACAAGTAACGTATCTTGTTAATCTAGGTCAGCTTCAGATAACACATGGAGGGATGGGAAATGAGAAATTCAAGGGACAACACTGTTTGGGATTCACTAAGAAACTAAAATAACGCTTGCCCACCATTTCCACTAAGATTTGAACACAAGTATATTTTGTTCTTTAGAGACATATTATAGGGGAGAAAAAAACCCCTCAAAACCAAAGCCCTCAGTAAAACTTCCAGCTTCACTAATGTCATGGAAGTTCAAGAGTACAGAATTCAAGACTGCACTGGTTTTTAATGATGCCTTACTTTCTAGAAAATACCACAAATCTGACAGTAACATAGCTTCATATTGGTGTACATGCAAACTGACTGAAAAAATCCTTTACTGAAGAATAGTAACAATGTCCTAGGAAACTACTAGTTTACTGGAACACTGGACATCTTCTCGACTAGGCTGATGAAAGGTGTCAAACACCAGCTAAAATGAACTAAAAAAAAAAAAAAAAGGAATCATAGGAAACTAAAATAGTATTTCAAACCCAGTAACTACTCAGTACTGTAAGTGCTTACATTTTATGCAGTAAGAGCAAATATGAAAAAAATATGAAACAAAACCAAGTGATTTAGCAAACAGTGACAGACTGGCCATATGTCTTTGCAGATTCTTAACCAAGCAGGGGATTTTCCAGAATGTCACTCAAAAGTTGTTAAGAAGTAAGTCTGGGGGAACAGGACAGAGAATATGAGAGGTATTTCATAAACTAAGAAGGACAAAAGAAAGGAGACAATGAACAGAAAGCACATTCCAGGTGGGCAGAACTACCAAGAAAGCAGCACAGAGGTAACAGAAAGGTAGGCTGGAAAGCACAACTGAGCAGAGTAGCAAGGAAGCAGGGCTGTATCTGGTTCTCAGACAGAGATCTTCAGTGCTACAAACAAGCATATACAGAGGAACCTATCACATAAACGGCTGCATAGTTTGCTGATCCTACCAGAAAATACCCTTAATATTAGCAGCAGACAGATAAGAAATCTTCCATTCTTAGCATGAGAAAGTAGTCCGCACAACATTCAAGAATAATGCTATCACTACCTCGACATTATTTGCTTCTGTCTCTTTCCATCGTATACTGGGAAAGCAAGAAATTTCTTAGCTAACACCTAGCCAATGTTGTGATTTATAAGAAAGTTGACTGACATCTGCTTCGGGTGAGACATTGCTGACAACCGGATGCTAATTGCAGGGAAACAGAAGGGGAGCTACTGGGGCTGGAGAGAAAGCCAAGTCAACTCAATCTCTTAACTAAGACAGGTAGGCATCTTCAAGGTGTTCACAGGTAACTGACGATGATGAGTGTAAGTAACTGGACAGACGCTTGGTGTTTTCAAATTCCCTGGATGTATCAATAGCTCTTATTTATACACAGTAAATATGGAAGTTATTTTTGCTTCAAATACCATTGACTTGGACATTTTTAGAATTATAATAAAATACACCCTCATTTAAACAAGAAGAGTCTTTTACAGTACTTGCTACAAAAGATGAAGCTGAGCAATCATTTAATCTTTGCAGGAGATATTTAAGTGCTAAGGCCTCCATACACAACACAGTGTTAGCATCACTACAGGATACTACAGTATCATGGCAGAGAGATAAAAACTGGCAAGGACACAATGTTCACCCAGTACCAAAAAAAACCTGACCAAAGACATCAATAAAACCATGGCACTGTTTCCAGGTTACATGGACAAAAATGTCAAGAAGGAAGAGGAGGTTGGGCAGGATGCAGGATGTTGGACTAGATGGCCTCCACCAGTCCCTTCCAACCTATTTGATTCTGTGATTAAGAAAAGCTCAGAGACCCAGTTAAAAGTAAAGGATTATTTCTCAGGTGTTTTTCCTCCATATAAGAGATACTTCATTAGAGGCAAGCTTCGAGAATGCTGATGTAATATAATTTCTTTACAAAAGGAAGACCTTGACAATCCCCCTCTAAAATAGACTTAGTCTTCCTGGAATTAAGAGCACTGTACATTTGAAGATTTTCAGTATTTCTTAAAAGAACATCTCAAATTTAGCAAGAGAAGCTATTATTCTTCCCCCAAGCACAGCTTTATCATCATGAAAACAGATCATTCCTCTAAACTTAATTTTATTCACAAAGGAAAGAAAGGATGTGTCAAAAAGAGAAAATTGACAGAAGAAATGTTCACTCTTTCTACAGATTCTTCAGATTCCCTAGGTTGACTATGACCTGATAGGATGTACAGATTGGGACTTCAGTAATAGCATCACAGGAGAAGACAGACTACATTTGCCTCTATAGTACCAAGGCCTTAAGAAGCATTTAGATAACAATTTCGAGAAGCAGTTCTCTAAGCACCTTCTTCCATATGTGGCTGCTCGCTACATTTTTGAAGTGACCCATGAAAACACAAAAAATACATTTAGATGATACAACATGCATAATCTAGTATTCTAGAACTTTTCAGTTGATATGATTGCCTACTTTTCTATCCACCAGATCACTCAAACACAGCTTGACACAGCAAGTGCAGGCTAATAAAACTGACCCAGGCAGGTGAGTATACAAGTGAGCCTGGTACGAAGCCAGTTCAAACGTAACTGGAATCCTGATTTTTGTATAAATCCTTTCATCGGCTCCCATCCCAAACATGACCACTACATATACATTTAATGAATTATCAATAAGGCCCCTTTGAGTGTTTGCAGCTTTTTAGTGTTTTAAGCCTAAATTTCAGGAAGTTCCAAAAACCTGATCTTATTAACTATGAAATTGATCCCAAAGTTCTCCACTTGCTACATATTTTGGAGTTGGCAACATGAAGAAGTTACTGTGGATGAGCAAACAACTGTCTGACAGGGCTTCAGGCATACAAGAAAACACAGAATACACTTTTGGCATTCAGTAAGAAAAACATCCCTTCTGAATGACCTAATTGTGACAGAAGATAAGGCGTTTCCAACTGATGTGGAGGAGTGTGCTTCTCTGTTTATTCCCTTGTACACCAGTAATTCTTAAGGAATTTTTTTCTCCTCCTTCATAATAAGATCTAATACTGATCGAAGAGATCATTATGTGGTTAATGCTCTGTAAATGAATCAAGTTATTACATCTCAATTAAAATGCTTCAGTTTTAGAGCGGCACTGATATTACCAAACAAGAAAGTATTTTTTCCAGGGTATCAGTACTGTTTCTAAGGTCTGAGGTTTCTATTCTGAAGATAACCTTCTCAGGAGAACTAATAACGTACAAATTTTGTGCTACTCTTCAGAATGCAATAGTACACCAGTACTCGCGTCTTCCAAACACAGGATACTTTCTTTTATTCTGTTTTTCTTGCCTAATGTATATAGTGCTTTTCTTAGAAAAACAAAGTACAGTACAAACCAATATAAATATTGTCATAAGAACTGGTAGATTAAGAATACTGTTAGCAACAGCAAGCAAGAAGCTCTCTGAATATACCCATAAATCCACCCTTTCAGAGATTCATTCTGTATTCAACCTCATAAAGAGCCTAAAAGAAGCCGGTATTAAACTGTTTATTATGCTTCACATTTTGACCAATTTTCTTTTGGTCTGAGCTTGGGAGGCTTTTCAGAATTGTTGTTTTCTATACAGAAAATGTATCTGTGCAGGAGCCTGTTAAATGTCAAAATGGAATAATTACATATTAAAACCCCATAGCAATTATTTTGTCTAATTATTTAGTCTAATCTATGAAATAATTCTGTTACACTGTACATGCTTAAAAATCATAAATATTTCAAGTGACTTTTTATTAACTGATTACAGATATCCTTCTTTAAGATCATACCTGTTTAAGCAAACTGCTAAGAACATTCATATGAACAGTACCTAAAAGTCACAAACTACTACCTTAGATATAATGGGAGGTTTGCTTTAAATATACATCTTGATGACATCAGGACTGGAACAGCAGTATCCTCAAGACTGCTAAACAAGAAGGTTGTTTTCAACGCAGAAAAACGTGCAATGAATTACTCATCTGCTTTTAAATACTGATTCAAAGTTGTGGTAATGCAGCACCTCTTAAAAACAATGTTAGGGTCGTGACCAGAGAAGTGGTTCAAAAATGTGTATGGCAGAGCTTGGGCTTTTGGTTTTTTTAGATTGCCTTTATGTAGCAAAAAGTTCCTCTGCTAGCCTAATTTAATGCTTTCATTTTTCTAATTATGCTGAAACATCAGTTAAGAGCCTACCTGATGTTTTGGAGAATTTGCTGTGCTGGGATTGATATTCCGCAATGCCTAAGAGTAAAAATAAGATGGATACAAATTACTTTAGCTGCATGGTTTGCCTATGCAGGCTGTCTTATAAACACCATCTTGTAGTATCAAGCCCCCAAGATAGGCCAGATGAGACAGGATAAGGGAGTTAAGAAGCTATGAAAATCACAACACAGTGAAACAAAACTCACAGATTTACCCAGGATGCGTATGTGACAGATAAGCTTAACGACCAGGGAGAACAACGTGAAGGGAACTGGCTGCCACCTGGTCCAAAGTTAGTCAGGTTCTCAATGACAATTGAGGCAAGAAGACAATTAGAATGCCTACCTAGAAGCATGCTAGCACAGGGTAAAAATGTTTGTTGATGGATTAATAGCAAAGCAGGAATAGCAGAAGCCCAGGTGCTTAAGCGGAGAGAAAGTCCTGCTGCCACCTTTGCAATGTATTCTTACCTAGAGTACTATAAAAAGTAACAGCTGTAAAGATGACCCATCTTACACCAAGAGATGCTGAAGATTCCTACAAAACAGGCCTTGACTACAAAGGGGATAACAGGAGTCAGATTCCAGGACAGAATACTGCAGGTGATGAAGAAAAGAGAAAAGCTGTCTTTGAGGACATGAAGATACTATTCTCTCTTGATACAAGGTCCATCACCCAAAGTGAAAAGGGAATAGATAAGATTTTAGAAGGTTTTCCTCAAAGAAATGATTAGTGCCTTCTCTGGTAGTGTCAAAAACCCAAAGAATATCCTAAGTATCTACCACAGATGGTAATCACTCTTAAAACATTCAGATGGAAAAATTGGAACAGAAGGCTTAAAGTCAAAAGGAAGTCAAGCCCGAATTCAAAATCCAGAGATTCCAATGTCCAGTCCTACACTTTAACATTTGCCACAGCTGTGTTCATAGAGTAGAAAATACTGAAAGTAATAGCTTGCAGCCTAATTATGAAGTTTGAAATTCTTCAGCATAAGAAAACCACAGGTTCAAAATGCAGCACGAGTGATTCAGTTGTTCTGTGCTCCACTCCACTGTTTAACAGATAAGCAACAAGGTGTCTCCTCAATGAATCTTATATAAACTCTAAAAGTACTTTGAAATCCTACAGATTGCAACAGGTTCTAAGAGTGAAAGACTTTCCTCCACTTAAAAAGGAGAACTAAAGCAGCTGTGGGAACCGACTTCTTGCCTTTTTGCATGACTCAGAACTCAATGAATATGAAACATATTCTCAAGAGGAATATCCAATCATATCAACAGTGCATGATGTCATCCTAATAGTAAAGAAGCCTGTTCTTGGAGAGTTTTGTTAGAGAGAGCAACGAGGGAGGAAAGCAAAATCCTTCAGTCTGGTAAGTCAGATGTTTTCACTACCGCGATGATATCAGTAACGGAATGAATTCAGACCTTTTTAGGTCTCAAAGCTTTTTGCACAGTCACCAGTCTTTAAGACTCACCAAAACAACAACTTAGCCAAAACAAAACAAAACATACAGAAGAAATAGTGGAAGTAGGTGTCTAACCTGTGGCCTCACCTGCCGAAGCAGTTCTTGGTGCTTCAGTCTCAGCCTTTCCTTCTCCATCTGTAGCTGCTGAAGTCTCATCTGTTGTTGCTGATTGGAGCTACTCCCACCCATCACACCACCCTGGGGACTCTGAGGAGCCAGAGGGGGTGGCTGCTTCACTGGAGCACTTTGGCTGATTCGCTGATTCATGGCTAAGGAACCAAAACAATAAACATTTAAAAATTAAATTCAGACAAATACCTGCAAAGAAAGAATAATCCTTAGAAGGCATATATTAAAAACTTTATGAAGTTACAAGCCATGACAGTATGAAACATGCAGCTACACTGATGTTCAGAGTGCGAAATGTAACCTCACATGCTATTCCTGTGAAATCAATGCAGTAGTCTCATGTTTAAGAGCACACACTTGTCCTAAAAGCTTTTGAAAACAGTTAAATGTGTAAGTTGGTGAAAAATGCAAAAGTGGTAGAAAAGTATTCCAAGTTTAATTAGAAGTATCTTTGCGCTTCCTAATAAACTACTCTCAATTTAGACACAAGTGATACAAAATCACTTTTCTTATTGATGTGAAATCTTAGAATCATTAAACTCAAGAACACAGAATGACAAAACAGATCACCTCACTTATATCAAACTACATTTGGGTAAAGGCTAGCATTCTTCTCAATGTGATGCAGGTCATGCAGCAATCATTCACATCCTTGTCACATCAAGTTTTGAGCGTCACAGACTCCATTTAGGGCACCCTGACACACAAAATTAGAGGTGGTACAGAAATGGCAGGTCAATTATACAGCCATGAATACTGCCATCAACATAAGAAACATTTTGCTAGTGGTTTCTTTTCTTTTACTCCACAGAGTTATGTGCTGCATCTTTTCTGGGGTGTGGAGAAGAAAAAGCGTCGCCTTGTATGCCTAGTGCACAATGAGAGCCTATCTTCCCCTCCCCCCTAAAAGCAAGACCTAAGACAATTTTGTTTTATAAAATAATGCATGACTGGGATGCATCTACTTGACAGGCCTGATTTTTCCCCAACACGAGACCAGTATGGTTGAAGACAACAGAGGCACTGGAGTTCCCATGGTAAAAGAGGGCTGGTAAAGGCTGAGTGTATTACAAGGGCACCATTTGCAGTGGCTTTCAGGTTTGGAATTAGCTCTCCATCTTGTTGTCTGGAGCAGCCTGAATCTGTTAACATTCACAATATGCTGCAGAATGCATTTGCTGAAGCAGTGGTGGGAGAGTGGTAGCGATTTTTTTTTTCTGGGAATGAGGATTATGGTTTATGGGAATTAAGGGAAAAAGGGAGTGAGCTTCTTTTAGGATGACAGGATGATTTGGTGCAAAGAAAAACATCTGTTGTATTAGTTTGAATTCATGTTTTCATCATATATAGAGGATTCCTGGAACACTAACACTTAACTATCACAATAAAGAATTATCTCAAAGAATCTGTATCATCTTTCCTCTGAAAAGCCCTTCAGTTTCCACTGTCTTTTGAGTGTTCAACTTAAGGTACAGTAGTGCTTTTCTTCTGTTCCAGGAAAGCCCAAATATATTATCTCATAATACCAGTAAAAATGGCTGTTGCTTCACAGCCTTGCTCCCTTTTCCCCTTGCCACAGCTCAACTTTCCATTGAGAGGTAACATATGAAGAAGGAATGTCATATGCTCACTGGAGTGAGAACAGAAAACGAACCAAAAAAAAAAAAGTTAAAACCAGTTACAGACTCAACTCTCTAGTCTTTCAACTACTCCATAGATCCAGCATAGAGTCAATAGTTTAATGGACAGGTGGGTCACATTTTTATGAGTCAAGTCAAAATAAAAACGAAGTGTCAAATAGCTTGAACTAATGTGAAATAATCTTTTCTGTAGTTACATGTGAGAGAGCTTCATACATATGATCACAAGAAAGATAGAACTTCCTGTAAGGGCAAGTGAACAGGTGAAGTAGGCATATAAACTATATCTCAACCCCAAGTAGAAACAACAGAGCGAATACAAAGAGCTGAAGGTTCAAGTCCAACCTGCAAGTCCCATCCTGACCCAGTGGGGAAAAAAAATAGTGGGAAGATGACATTGCTATGGATTAAAGCCTAAAATCAAGCAGTTGATCTTATGAGACATCCAGCACCACCTCACCATCAAAACTGAACTTCAAGAGAAGGTGAGCAGGATGAGCCAACCAGCGTTGCAATGTGAGCTGTGGTCCCTAAGCCAGCAACGGGAAGAGACAGGACAGCTTGTTCCTCCGCTGAACAGACACAGAAGGTTCATATGCCCCAAGACACCAGACACTTAAGCAGAAGTTTCAAAAGCACCTGCAAGGACGTGAACAGTGAAGTGTAATTACAAGCTCCAGGACCTCCACTGGCCAATCTGTGCTGGAAGACTGACAGCAATTAGACTACCTACGTTTACCAAATTAGGCTGAAGTTGAAGCTAGAGAGAGCAATGCAAAAGAAAGGCAGCCCACCTGGCGGCTCTAGACAAGCTGGACATGACACCGCTGAAGCAGGGAATAGATCTCCTGCTTTCTGTCTTTTTACCCAGAATCCTATTAAGCCTGGAACCAGAACTATGCCTTTTGCTTCTTTATATCTTACCCTCTTTCACCTTGCAAGCAGACAATGAAGGGGCGGGTTACTAGGGGACAACAGAAAACAGCAGCCTTCTCCTGCTGTTAGCTAATTCTGCAACTTGAGCAGAAGCCTGTACTACCCTTCAGAAGTTCCAGGATCCAAGCCCTGCTATTAAACAAGATGGAAGGTCAATTACAGTGGAAAGTAAGGAGGGACAAAGGTTAGAAAATTACAATCACCTGAAAGAAGCACAACTAAGTTAAAAGCAAACTACCTAGCTTGTAAAAATTAAGTGCCCAAAGCTGAAGAATGTCAATTTTCTTTAGGTTAAAAAGGCCACCTTTATGGTCTAGTCTCCAATTATATAATCATGGTTTTGGAGTCCCTGCCTCATGCAGTTCACAGACAAGTCATGTTACAGATAACCTCATAAAAATTTAGCAGTTTCCAACCTTACTTAAACACTTAAAGCTTAAATCACTAACATCCCTTCAACACGTTATGAATTTGTTTTTCCTGCATGCACCATACAAGTATTAATTCCCTACGTCTCTTTTCCACTAATACGCACCTTTGGAAATAATTTTCCTCTCATGCCAAGCTTTTAATTTTTTTTGTATACCTGTATCTTTCCGACACCTGCTTGTATTATTCCTGTTCTCTCTGATCAATTTGCTCCATCCTTCCCATCTACTGACTTTGTAATTAAAACTGTAAGAAACAAATCATATTTGTCTGATGTTTTTCATTTTATCCCATCATCCTAGATCCCTGAAATGCCTTCTAACATCCATTTTGAAAGTAACGTTTCTAACTAAAAGTGTATCTAAAACAGGAATATCATAAGACATTGAGCATTCTGTGTATACTTCATATGCATCAATAATATTGGGGGAAAATTTAATTATAAGATATGGTAACTCTTCAGAAACCAAACCTAAAAATCTACTTTCTGAATTCTTATACAAGTATCCATTAAAAGGATTTTTCTGAGCATTTTACTATTTCAAGAATGCAAGTGCAAAAGACTTCAAATTGACAAGATTTTAAACTGTCCTCAGAACAGACCATGGAGATGTTTTTCATGTAAGGGAACTATTTTTAACTGTGAAATTAAACCAAAAGTTTGGACACTAAAACAAAATACTGCTAATTGAATTTTACTGACTTAACAGCATATCCAAAGTAAGAACCAGTGGAAGAAAACCAACAGTAATAACACTGAATGATTTTCAGCTATCTTGGCTGATTACACAAGTGTGCTATCTTCAAGGGAAACAGAAAGAAGAATGTAATTTTCTGTAATTGCCAACACAATATTTAACGAACAGAGGGAAAATACAACATCTTGTTTCAAGTGACAGTAAAAAAAGGAGGATTTAAAAGGTTTTTTTGTTGCTGGTTTGTTTTTTTTTATTTGGTTTGGTTTTGGGTTGTTTTGTTTTTTGTTGCTGGTTTGTTTTTTTTTTATTTGGTTTGGTTTTGGGTTGTTTTGTGGTTTGTTTTGTTTTTTTTTTAAATTCTCAAATCTCTATTACTTATTGAGGACGTGACGGCAGAAATCTGCACTTACAGAATATGCTTATCAATGTGATCACAGATAAGCAAATTTATAATTTTTCCCCACCTCATGGGTTTGTGATGATCCTGACGTGCACAGCTCTTTTTAAGTACTTTGAATTCAAAGGCAAAGAGCTTCATTTATCTATTAGAGTTAGGACTTATCAGTTTTCTGATGCATCCCGTTCCTTACCTTCCATGGGTATGGAAAGCATTTAAATAAGGGGCTCTGCACCCACACAGCGGAGGCTGCAAAGACCTCACAGGCAGGGAAGGAACAAACAAGTCTTTGTTTCTAGAAGACGGGGATTTGAGGGAGGAGGAGGAGGGGCAGACAAGAAAAAACACGGGCAACTAAAGACAATAAAAAAGATCTTGCCGTCCTAGAATATGGTTTAGCTTCACAACCTGCAAAATAGATTCATCTGTAATAGCTGCAATGTGCTTTTAAGAACAGAGAATTACTGGTCTTCAAACGTTACACATTAAATGTTCTACTGTCCAAACTCAACAGTGAAACGCCTGTTCCGTACTGTAGCAGATAACACTTGACAGTTACTGAAAAAAGTTTAGACCGCTGCCTACATCTTTAATGGGGGGAAAAACAAAAACAAAAAACCAAAAACCAAGAGAGAGACACAATTACCAGCCACTGGTGCAGGAGAGAAAAGGCCAGCAGATTGCTAACAACTCAAACATAAAAGGCTAATTCTCTCCCAAGATCCTATGCCAATTTAAATCACATGTCCCAGGGCACTGACAGCCTGCAGGAACACGGTACCTTTCCCCTACGCAGAATTACATGCAAAGATTGCTATAGAGCACCCGTGATCATTAACAGGCACGGCTGAATGTTTGATGGTTTTTCTTTTGTATTTATCATCTCACCCTTCAAAACTAAAACTGGTTCTAATCGGCAAATTTAAAGACGTTATTTATTTGAACAAGCAACAATAAAAAAGCTCAGGATCTGAGCACACTATAACTTACTGTTCTTAATAATAAGAATCAATGTTTTCATTAAGGAACTGGAAAAGAGT